AGGCTAGATAGGTTGTTAGACTAATTAAATATAAATTATTATATATTATTACTTGTTAAACCACCAGATATTACTGCAATATCAGTCATATTTTTTCTAAAATTTTTTTTAACAAGATTGGTAATATGACCTTTGAAAGAATCTAATACTAAAAGTGAACATTCACGTCTATACATATTTTAAGCAAGCCAGACATTGTTTGTCCACCAAATTATTTCTTGTTCGTTGCACCATCCTTTCTCATTTACACAAATATGGATATCTTGGAGAAATTGTTAACGGGCATATTTTTTAACTTAAATATACAAGTTGCTGGCAATTTCGTACCATCTGCTAGGCAACCTAAAATCATGGTAAAGTTTGATTTTTCATGCCCAGTAGTTCTTATACTAACAGTTTTAGCACTATGTTTATCTATAGTAACAGCATTTGGCAAGTCAAAAGCAATAGGTGTTTCATCTATATTACTAATTAATCTTAATAGGTAATTATTTTCTTATTGTTTAAGTGCAATATAACTCAAAAATCATTGTTGTTTTTCAATTAGATCCTTAGAAAGATGTTGAGCAATATTAGTTCTACGCCTGTTTGAAAGATCATAATGAGATATAAATATATTAAACCATTTATAAGAAAAACTAAATTGGTTTATATCAGGATACAAAATTTAGAATCTAGGTTGTTGAGCGAAATTTTTTGCCTTTTGGATAACTATTATATGGGTTACTGCATTACATTAATCTCAAGTTTCTTTTATCCAAGCTGCCAAATCTTCTTCAAGCTCAGAAAAATTAGCTCTTTTTCTGGAATATAATTTCTTAATATGTGGAGCAGCCATTATAAGTTGATCTTTAATTTTTCTCCAGTCACGTACTTGTTTAGGTTGAATATTAAACTTTCTTGCTATATCATGTACACTTTTAGATTGCTCAAGGTAATGAATAACTATAAGTTTTTACTTTGCAGACTATTGACGACAAATATGATGTGTAAAATGTGAATGTCATGCTGGTTGATTTGCACAAACTATTTTTTATTTACAAAAATAAATTATTAAAGCAACCTTTTTAAATAGTTTTATAAATACTTATAATTAAAGAACTTGCAAATAGTAAAAATTTATTCAATTGTTATTAAAAAATCTCTTTTATTAAAATATTTGTTATTGTGTACACTGTTATATACGATTATAAAATAATAAAACAAAAGAATATTAATCAATTATCATTAGATGGTCTAACACAAATGTAAATATAATCTAAAGTATTTGTCTTTAGCCTAATCTGTGCTTTGTACACTGTTATCGAGAACAAAATAAACTATATATTATTAAAATTAGGTGATTTTTAAAATAAAAAAAACACACGAATATTTTTTTTGTTATTTTGAAATATTTGTCTTGGCCTAAATTGTTGCTTTGCACACTATTACTTATAATAACTGAATAATGGAACAAAAAACATGGTTTTATCCATATTTTGGTAGTTTAAAAAAACTAATTAAA